AACATTAAGTACGAAGCATCATGTCACACACCACCAGTTACTGACCATTCATGTTTCTGTGCTCTTTGTATAAAGTCTTTACAAACTTGTTACCGAGGAGAAATGTCCATTTTTTAAAATATGAATCTGACTATACTAATGAATTCAGAAATGAAGTTGTTCATTTTTTGAAATCTGAAACTGACTATACTAATGTCAATCAGAAATTAAATTGTTGTTTTTTAGTTGCTCATTTTTGAAATATGAAACTGACTATACTAATGACAATAAATGAAGTTCTTCATTTTTTGAAATATGAAATGGACTATACTAATGAAAGTTGTTCAATTTTTGAAATTTGAAACTGACTATACTAATGACAATCAGAAATGAAGTTGTTGTTTTTTTAGGATACTGAGAGAGTCCCCTCGCTGGTTGGTCGTGAACGGCAGGTATGATGAGGCTAAATCCTGGATAAGTAAGGCGGCCAAATGGAACCATAAAGACGCGGCCCCTATCCTCAATGATCTCAAGTTTTCCTTAGAGAGTGGACAAAGTCAAGAACATGGTGAAAACAACGCAAACTCGGGAACTATCAATCCACAATTAAATGACGTCAGTGAAGGGTCAGAGAAGGTTAAGGTGTACTCCCATCTGAAGGAGAAGTTGTCGGTACTGGATATATTCAGGAGTCGGCGGATCCTCAGAACATCTGTCATTGTGTGGATCATATGGTGAATAAAACATAAGAACATGGGCAAAAGTGGCTTACAAAAATTTTATATGAAATTCACAGGTATTTTATATATTTTTTTTTTTGCGTGAGAACAAGACAAAAACCAGTCATATCAAATTTATGTGTGGATCATCTGGAAAATAAATATAAGAACATAGGCAAAAGCAGGTAACATAAATTTTATATGAAACTCTTAGGTATTTTATATAATTTTTTTGCATAAGAACAAGACGAAAACAAGTCATATCAAATTTATGTGAAAACGTCAAGCCATTTTGACTCAACTTTCATATGAATTTTACATAAAGAGCATATCACATAAGTATTATACCAAAAGAAATATACACAGAAGTTCTAAAAAAAAAATGTGAATATCATACAAATTTATTTACATGATATTCGCATGAAAAAAATATTTATATAGTTTTTACATGGTTTTCACATAATTTTCAAATAAAATGATAATCAAACGAATGTCATTTAAGCTACTTTTCCCTGTGAAACATTTATCATAATAGATTTTTCTCCTTTATTGACCCTAGGTTTGTGAACAGTATCACCTATTATGGCCTCTTTCTGACATCCGGGATAATGGCTGGAGACATGTATCTAAACTACTTCTTGAATGGATTGGTCGAAATACCCAGCGTGTTTTTGTACATGTTTACCATAAACAGGTATTTGAATAATGAGCCATTGAAAATGCTTGCACTTTAAAATATTAAAGAATCGTCAGGGTCGATTACAAATTTCCCAGTATATTCCTATTCACCATTAAAATCTATAAGAATGTTTATGGGAAATATAAATTAAAACACATGTATTATAGATATCCTGGAATTTTTATCTAATTCAAAATCTTTTGAGTCTAGGTAAAGGATAAAATAAGGTCAAAATATTCTATTGAGGAGAAAAAAAAAGAAATCTTCTGAAGAAAAACAGGACCAAAATCAGCCTGTTTTCTTTTACTCGGTAAAAGGGATATAATTCCATTTGAAGCATTGATTTTTACAGAGTTGTCTTGTGATTACAAAATTAGCTAAAATCATTTTTTTGCATTTATAGAGGCTGGATGGTCGTGGCCATATTTAGATTATTTTTATCTCCTTTAGAAGAAGAGCTCCATATAGAGATATACAAAAGTGATCAAATGTAAAATTAATATGTATGAAATTTTTCCTTGTCAAATGATAGTTGATAGCTAAAGATATCATATATAAAAATGTAAGTTATATCTGATGGTTATTTTTTTGTTAATTTATTGACCACCCAGGCTCCTTAATTATTTCAGCAGTGCTGAATTGTATGATTTTGAAGTTTCTGTGTAGACATGGATGAAAGAAAACCTGTATAATATTCCATTCTATAGCTGGGAGTGTTTATCATTTTCTATATCTGTACAGATATGGTAGGAAGAAAACCTGCATAATGTTCCACGCTATTGCTGGGGTGTGTTTATCATTTTCTATATCTGTATAGATATTGTAGGAAGAAAACTTGCATAATGTTCCACGCTATAGCTGGGGTGTGTTTATCATTTTCTATATCTGTAAAGATATGGTAGGAAGAAAACCTGCATAATGTTCCACGCTATTGCTGGGGTGTGTTAATCATTTTCTATATCTGTATAGATATGTTAGGAAGAAAACCTGTATAATATTCCACGCTATAGCTGGGGTGTGTTTATCATTTTCTATATCTGTATAGATATGTTAGGAAGAAAACCCGTATAATATTCCACGCTATAGCTGGGGTGTGTTTATCATTTTCTATATCTGTATAGATATGGTAGGAAAAAAACCCGTATAATGTTCCATGCTATTGCTGGGGTGTGTTTATCATTTTCTATATCTGTATAGATATGGTAGGAAGAAAACCTGCATAATGTTCCACGCTATTGCTGGGGTGTGTTTATCATTTTCTATATCTGTATAGATATGGTCGGAAGAAAACCTGTATAATGTTCCATGCTATTGCTGGGGTGTGTTTATCATTTTCTATATCTGTGTAGATATGGTAGGAAGAAAAACTGTATAATGTTCCATGCTATTGCTGGGGTGTGTTTATCATTTTCTATATCTGTATAGATACGGTAGGAAGAAAATCTGCATAATGTTCCACGCTATTGCTGGGGTGTGTTTATCATTTTCTATATCTGTATAGATATGGTAGGAAGAAAACCTGTATAATGTTCCACGCTATTGCTGGGGTGTGTTTATCATTTTCTATATCTGTATAGATATGGTAGGAAGAAAACCTGCATAATGTTCCACGCTATTGCTGGGGTGTGTTTATCATTTTCTATATCTGTATAGATATGGTAGGAAGAAAACTTGCATTATGTTCCACGCTATAGCTGGGATGTGTTTATCATTTTCTATATCTGTATAGATATGGTAGGAAGAAAACCTGTATAATGTTCCACGCTATAGCTGGGGTGTGTTTATCATTTTCTATATCTGTATAGATACGGTAGGAAGAAAACCTGCATAATGTTCCACGCTATTGCTGGGGTTTGTTTGTCACTTTCAGCAGTCCTCATGTACCTAAAAGGTATATGTTTCTTTTTTTCATTACTTTACATCCATATAAAAGCAGTGTATATACAATTTCATTTTGATTTTGTGTTTTTTGCTGATGTTTTATAACTTTATGAAATGGACACATGTACATTGTGCAGAAATAATTTTGCATACCCCCTGAAAAGTGCTACATCTGACACTTATGAAGCAAAACAGTTGAATTGTTGAATACCTAGTGTACACTTCTTCAAACTGTACTAAATGTATCTAGAATCATGTTGAAAGGCATATTTAAAATTTACTATGGAGAAAAAAAATCAAGTTGAATTTGAATTATTAATCATTGAAAGCATTTAAAAAAAATCATTGCTCCTGACATTCAGATTCATCAGTGATGGAAGGATTCGCCACTGCCTTCAGTTTTGTTGGGAAGTTTGGTATATCTGGATCCTGGATGACGATTTTCCTATATACAGAGGAAGTGTATCCCACTAATCTGAGGTGAGCATTATAAGAAATCCGCAATCTAATTAAAAATAGATGTTAGATCCGCTCGCATACTCGCTACACTAACATCTAACAACATTCCATAGAGGGTCACGTCAGAGGACAAATTCTGTTAACCAATCAAATTGTCGCTGGCAAAATCATCGGATATCTGTTGAGTATGCGAGGGGATCTAACATCTAAATGTAATTAGATTGAAGAAATCCGGTGTCGGTTTCATTGATGTGAATGATTATTGTTGATTTACGCCACAATATCAGCCATATTTCACTGGAACATGTATGAACTTAAATATGCATGAAAAGTTTTGATGTTTTTTTTTGGTTAGTTTCTCTGGTGGGCCTAAATAATCCTTTTTGAAAACGAGCAAAACGATCTTTAGCATGCCAAACTCTTGATCTTGACATGGGATACCGTATTCGATATACTTGGAATTTGAAAATAAAAACAGTTAACTTGAAAATTACAAACCTGCTAATAAAAATGTCCTATTTAAACTTTGATTGCAAAAATGATTTTCTTGCAAGCATTGTAAAATTGCAATAGGATTTAAATATCTAAAAAGATCAAGCTTTGTGTTAATTCACACCATTAAAAAGAGTTTATTTGGAATAGGTTTAAAATCAAAACATTCTAAAATTATGTTTTTATATTTATGAAACAGTCGCAAGATTTGCATTCACGTTGATGTTCCCCTCTCCGTAAATATGGATAGATAAACCTAGTAAGTCCAACTCTCATTCTTTAAATAATGAATTTGTCCTGGCCTTTCAGGTCGAAGTCAGATGATTAACTTTGTTCTGTATGGTATACAGTTGATTATTAATACAAAAATCCCTTAACATATACAAAAGAAAATTCATGCAAAATTTTATAGTACTTAAAATCTGTGTAAGTTTAATATTGAAGAACATTTGAGTCTTTCTTACTAATGTTTTGATTCAACGTCTTAAAGAGGCTGGGTGGTCGTAGCCATTTTTAGACTATTTCTATCTCCTTTAGAAGAAGAGCGCCATATAAAGATATAAAAAAAGATGTTCAAATTTTAAAATAAATATGTATGATATTTTTCTTTGTCAAATGATAGTTGATAGCTAAAGATATCATATCTAAAAATTTAAGTTGTATCTGGTGGTTAATTATTTGTTACTTTGTTGACCCCCCCCCCCCCCCCCTTAGTCCCATTAAGACAACTCATGTCTTTTACAAAGCAGTCTGCGCTGTTTTTTAGCTCACCTGAGCCGAAGGCTCAAGTGAGTTTTTCTGATCAAAATTTGTCCGTTGTCTGTCGTCGTTGTCGTCGTCGTCGTAGTCGTTGTTGTAAACTTTTCACATTTTCATCTTCTTCTCAAGAACCACTGGGCCAATTTCAACCAAACTTGCTACAAAGTATCCTTTGGTAAAGGGGATTCAAGTTTGTTCAAAAGAATGACCACGTCCTTTTCCAAGGGGAGATAATTATATATTAGAGAAAAAATTATGGCATTTTTAAAAAATCATCTTCTGAAGAACCACTGGGCTAGGAAAGATGAAAATCAGATAGAAGCATCCTCAGGTAGTGTAGATTCAAGTTTGTTCAAATCATGACCCCTGGGGCAAGGGTGGGGCCAAAATGGCCAACCCAAGTTTTTCATAGGAATATATAAGATAAATCTTTAAAAATCTTCTCCTCAAGAACCACTGGGGCAGGAAAGATGAAACTCATGTGGAATCATCCTCAGGTAGTGTAGATTTAAGTTTGTTCAAATCAGGACCCCAGGGGCAAGGGTGGGGCCAAAATGGCCGACCCAAGTTTTACATAGGAATATATAGGAAATATCTTTAAAAATTTTCTTCTCCAGAACCACTGGGCTAGGAAAGATGAAACTCATGTGGAATCATCCTCAGGTAGTGTAGATTCAAGTTTGTTCAAATCATGACCCTCGGGGCAAGGGTGGGGCCAAAATGGCCGACCCAAGTTTTACATAGGAATATATAGGAAATATCTTTAAAAATCCTTCTCAATTACCACTGGGGCAGGAAAGATGAAACTCATGTGGAATCATCCTCAGGTAGTGTAAATTCAAGTTTTTTCAAATCATGATCCCCGGCCCTGGGGATAGGGTGGGGCCAAAATGGCCGACCCAAGTTTTACATAGGGATATATAGGGAAACCTTTTAAAATCTTCTTTTCAAGTACTTCAAAGCTATGATTAGTAATACCCGGGGTATTTATATGGAATCATCCTCAGGTAGTGTAGATTCTAGTTTGTTCAAATGATGAACGCCTGGAAGGGGTGGGGGGAGTAAATTCAATCCCGGTGTGTGCTCAGGTGAGCGCTGTGGCCCCTTGGCCTCTTGTTCGTTATTATAGTTTGTATTCGTTTGCTACGTTTCTTTTAGAGCTCTCGGAATAGGACTTGCCTCGTGTTCTGCCAGAGTAGGAGCGATAATTTCACCATACGCAGCTTTTTTTGTGAGTGGTTTATTTGGTCCATATAGTTGTTTTCCTTGAACATATTACAAATCAAAAATTCAATTATTCCGCGGGAAGGTATGATTTGTAAATATTATAATGTTGTTTTCTTAAGTAGTTTTTTTTCATTATTTTATTATTGAAAAAAAAATCGTTTAATGCATAAAAGATTAATATGTTATTGACTTCAGTATGAAATTATCAAGTTTTGAATGATCTTTTTTAAGAATAAAAGACATCTTTCCCTTTTGATATTACAATCGAAATGTGATTTCAATAATTTAGTAATTTTGGCTAAGCATACTTTATTTCTATTTCGATAATATATATGTAAAATTTGAAATACACTAGTGTTTTTAGTATTTTCTAAAAAATAAAATTATTTTATTTTCTCCTTACTCCGTGGCTTTCATCAGTAATCCCCCTTACAGCAAACTGTGATCTTTACAGCATATTTCAGAAATTTCAGAAAGCTTAACTTCTAATTTCAGGGAACACATATTCCATGGGGCCCGGGAGTGGTGTTTGGAATTATGTCAGTGTTAGTGACTATTCTGATAATATGGCTGCCCGAGACAACTGGGAAAGAGTTACCTAACACTCTAGAGGAGGTTAACGAACTTTATATCGTCAAGAAAGATGATCAAACAAATGTTTCCTGATTCAAACTTATATGAAACTACAAAGATTTCGTGTTTTAAAGTTAGGACAATTCCTTCTACAAAATCAGCATACTTTGACTTATCATCATTGAATGCTTAGTTTATATAATGTAACAGGGTTTCGATAAAGGACGAAATCCTGTGGCTCAGGTTCTCATATATCATTTATCAAAGATGATGAATGTGTTAGACAAGCAAAAGCCCTGAAAATATAAATAACAAATTATAAGTATTTAGAAAACAAATATATTGCATTTATGATACATGAATATAGATATGAATTACTTTATAATAATATATCATAAAAATATTACATGTTATACTATGTTATACTGAGTATTCAATAAATATACATGTAAAAAGAAAAGTAAGAGTTATGCCCCTTACATCGATATCTTGAAAATAGGAAAAATAAATCAAACAGAACTATTACAATGGAATGAATAGTTCACAAATCTATTTACAATAACATACAGTACACAAATAATAAAAAATAACAGTTGGTATACCTGATTGTGGTTCAGGGCTCAAACAATGAACTCAGTATATCTTCATAAGATTACATAAATCAAAGACGACAAATTATCGAAAAGTATAGAATTAAAATAGATAAAAGAAATAGAAGTCAACTTACAGTCTCTGTCCTGGGGTCTCGTCTCAAATATGTAATGAAAATATGTATATAAATATGGTGACCAAAATATCGATCTAAATCTCTCAATGGTCTATCTCTGTCTTAGCGATCAAACAAAGAGATCGGCGGGAAAACATCCCGAGCCAATCGCAAGCTTGGTTATTACAACTGACCAATAATATTAAACATCCTCAGGATAAGTAAAGGCTTCTAGAACATAAGTAAGATTAAAAACCAAGTAGTATTGTAATATTTTATTGACAATGCGCGCAAAACTCCGCGAATATCGAAACGCGTTGCACGATTCAAAAAATAAAATACGAGTGAATATTAAGTGGCTTAAATAATCAAATAATATTTACATAATAAAATAAATAAAATATAAATAAAATACTAGTATCACTCTATCACAATAATTTGTGGTTTTTTGCTTTATAATCATTTTTATGAAAAAGATGTATTTGATAATAAATGATTGAGATCGTTCACTGCTAGTCCTCTAGAATGCTAGTAAAACAAAAGAATTGAGAGTACGAATTATTATGTACCTTTCCATACTAAACACCATAAATACTTATAAATGCATTAAAATTAGCAGCTTGTTTAATCCCGAATAGTTGATTTTAAACAAATCACTTGTCGAAAGGAACTTGCCGCCATGACGTCAATTTGGTAAAATGACGTATTCTATGTGATTGAGAGGCAGATAAAATACTTTTTACTTTTCAGAGTGTATTTCATCAATATAAAGAATATTGAAACATATTTTACTATTTAAACCAATATCTAACCATTGTTTACTGCAATTACTCAATAGTTATCGAGAGAATGTACTTACTTAATTATACACTGCTTTTGCGTAAACGTTTAACATTGAAGTGCCTTATTGATTCACTTTTTTGGAAGGGGATAAACACTTAATAGTCAAAGTACAAGGAATGCAGAAATGATTAATTTTTGTATTATTAATTTCTAAGAGGTTATGTCCTTCCTTTATAGAAATGTGTTCTTGACTCCTATTCAGTACACATCCTTTGTAATTACCACGTGACTGTCCATCGATGATTGATGATGATGGTATATTGTTTAACGTACCTCTCGAGAATCTTCACTCATATGGAGATGCCACCACTTGCTGGTGGAGAGCTGCAAATTTTGTCCTATGCTCGGCACTCAGGGCCATTAAGCAGGGAGGGATCTTTTTCGTGCCAACACCTACTACGACACGGGACCTCAGTTTATACGGTCTCATCTGAAGGACTGGTCTCCACGTCCCACAGTAGGATTCGAACCCGCGACGTAAGGATTGACTCCTTACTTTCGCAACTCCAGAGCAGACACTCTAACCACTGCGCCACGCGGGCGACGACTGTACATCGAGGGGACTATACTAAATTTAGTACAGGATAGAGTGTACTTTATTATGTTATTTCAATTTTCAAGTTATGCGAAAATAAAAACGCTATATAAAAAACAAAATCAGATTTAAATAGTTCTCATCTTTGCACATCTACGTTTCGTTGATTTCGTCATAGTAAGACTTAACAGTGCTTGGTGTTTTTCACAAGTACCGTTGTTTGTTTATACTAAGCTAGTTCTTTGCATTTAATTTTCAGACAAGGATACATATTTTTTAATGATGGGTATATACATTTAACAAATTTCTAAATTGATTATAATAATACATTAATCATACATTGGCTTTTAGTAGAGAAACAATCATTCGATGTGATTGGCGGTATTTTTGTATTCCGAGTTTCATGTACAGATTAGTATTGATTTCATATAAATCATACATGTATGTTATAATATATATCAAATGCTCTTGTATACAATATCTTTAAAAAAAAAAGATCATTACATATTTGCTTTCTGGTAAAAAAAAAAATAGTTTATCACTTTACATCAGTTCTAAAATTCAAGATCAATGTTGGCTATATCATTTAATGTGAGGATGTGGATTAAAAATTCATGTAGCACATTAATATATATATACTTTTTTTTATTTCAACGCTGAGTAGTTTTAATCAAATAAAACAATTTCTTAGATTATTTAGAAATTTGTGATAAAACACTTCATGAAATGGTGCCACACCAGTCATTTACAAAATGATTTTTTAATGAAATGTAATATCCTGTATTTAGTTATAAAATGTTTATTTTGAAATGTTTATAAATATTATTACCGTCTTCCTTGGAAGACGGTATTGTATAGTTGAAGTTTTTTACAGTCTTCGGACTATCCACTTCCTCTCTTTTGTGATTGGTAGAAATTGCATGATGATAAAATTTTCAATTATTTCATTGGTTGAAATGCTGTTCAAGGCAAGGGAGATAACTTTCTGATGATCTATTTTTCGTACGACTTAACAATTTTGCAAGATTTCCAATCTTAAAAAAATAACAAAACGAACAACAAAATCAGCAGTAATTATTTCTTAATAACATGATATTTTTTATAGCAATAAATAAAAAGGTCTCTTTAATTTCATTATAAATAAAATTTGATAGTTATTGCTTGCAGGCTTTACAATTTGTTATTATTCTTTTTCCCTTTCTTGTTTGAAGAGTGAATGGGAATCAGCCGAGGTTTGCCGAAAGCTCTCGGCCAGTCAAAGTTTACGGAGATGACCGAGCGACAACCGTGGTAGGGCTAATGCCCGTAAAAAGCTAATTTAGAAATACAAAATCAAGAAATTCAAAAGAATTATACGGCCTGTTAAGTGTAGATCTGCAGTTTACTGTTTAAAATTGTTGCTAAAGACGGTAAGCATTTTTGAAAAGCTCTACTTGTATTGTGTATGTTTGATTTATTGCAGTTTAATAAATAACTATTGAAATATACTTAGTATTAAAATAGAAACGAATGAGCCAGTGTTTGAGTTATTCAATTTAGTTACTATTTTTAGACCTTTTGACACGGATGACTGGTGTTAATTTTCATTGGTTATCTTGGTTCTTGTATATGTAAGATCATTCTCATGCTGGTTGTTTCCCGGGCTAGACGCCGATTGGAGATTTAGATTTGCAATTTGAAATTAATATCTTACACTGTATATAGAGTTTTGAGGCTTTGGATTTAAGGTTGTTTTATTTGTTTTCTTGTTCACTACAGAGTATACATGTATATACTAATTTTCCTATATTTCCTTTAATTGCCACTTGAGTACGTGTGTATGGCGAGATCGTATATTGTGTAAAAGTGCATTTAGTTTAAACTTTGAAATCTAGTATTTGATAATTGCATTTTTATCGTAATATAGAATAAAAATTATAAAGCGTAATATATTTATTATAGAGGGAAACAACAGAAATGAAGCAACGCCTTGTGTTTAGTACTTAGCTTTGAACTTTACACCTCATGAGAGGAAAGGGTATTAGTGTGTTTAATTGCATTAAATTGAGTTTCATATTATTTTCTACTTTATAAATTGTTTCAGTTCTGGTTACTGAAAGTTTAATTTGTTGAGTCTGTTTATAATTCATAATTTCTAAATCGGAAGTATGTAATGCATTTTTCATATTGAGTAAGAGTTACGCAGTAATAATTTCATACGGTGATATCAGTCTGATTCTTCTATTATCTATGGATAAAGTAATTAAATAATTTATAAAGATAATGTTCAATAAAATTTAAGTCGTTAAAATTTACGACCAGAGATATGATTTTAATATGTTTTGTATTTGTTTATCATGTCGTTTACCATGTGCTGATTTTAAATATTTTTTGTTACAGGGTTATCTATCTTAGAGTGTATTTGCAAATAAATAATCCTTCAAAGAACCCAAGCAGATATCCTTGTTCGTTTATGGGAAAACAGGGGTTTCAGAAATATATAAAGATAAAATCAGAATTCTAATCACTTTTGGCACACATCTGTGCTTAGTAGCTGCAGCTTAAATCTATATGGACAGATTACCATGTAGACCTATGCAGTCGTCCTCAGATGTCCTTGAAAATCAATAGTACAGTTTATTAAAATTTGCAAATTCAGAATGAATGTTATAATATTAATAATGCAAACCGTTGCAAAGCAATAAATGTGACCGGAAGTGACGTCAACAAAAGAAAGCAAGAGCTAAGTGATTTCTTTATAATTTCAATTTTGCATCAAAACCTTTAAAAATAAACTTCCGGTTTGACCGGAAGTGATGTCGACGGACAGAAAATTACGTTTTATGCTTCCAGTGACATAAAATATCCAAAAACTTTCAAGAACGGCATTGACCGGAAGAAGCCGGACGCATTTTGACGACTTCAATAGATTTAGCTTGAAATTTTGAACAACTTTGCTTCTTGGACGTATTACAAATTCTCAATACTTTTTGAAATATCTGGAAAAATTTTTTTTTTTATTTACAGCCCTTTTTCCGAGATATCATTTGAAAGATCTTCTAATTCTGCACAAATTTTGTTCTATACGTCTTAACAAAATATTTTTAGTTTAGAAGATAAAAAGCAAAATATGAGTAATTTTTAGCTCTTTTAAGCGTTCTAATTTTTGACCCCTATATAGCGCCATTTTGAATAGAGAAATCGAAAAACAAAAACCGATGTGCACAACTTCAATCCTTCTATTATTTAAAATCAGTAGAATTTCTGCTCCAGCTTTAGCCGTCTCTGAGCCTTTGTCTGGAAACGAAAGCCTATAAATTTTCGTTTAAAGGGTCAAAACCGGAAGTGACTTTTTGAAAACAGCATTTAGACTTTAGTAACTTCTAGTACCTCTGAAAATTTGATCGAAATCAGTTTAGAAATGAGTGAGATATGAGGCTTCAAAGTTGGCGTCTAGGAAGTAGAAGAAAAAAAAAAGAATAATAATCTTTACCAACAGAATCAGTAGAAGGTCTTCCGTTGGAGACGGAAGACCTTAATAATGTAACCCAATAAATGTAATGAACAAAGGCTTTTAATTTAATTGAAAGTATGGTCTAGAGATGTATTTGCATTGAGAAAGTTGTATACTACAGTTAAAACCATTTCATTTTCTTTATTACACCTCTGTTTAGAAGTATTTGGATTTAGTTTTGATGTATATAACGCTACAAAATCTGTTTTAACTTGTGTTGCATTTACCACTTTCATTACAATGATGGAATTACCTGGCATCCGTCCATCTTTGATCCTCTACAGCATTATTTCGCTGCGTTTATTCAGCACTTTACATCATGGCTACGAAAGACTCCAAAACAGATATAGATTGAGGGGAGGGTTGATTAATTCCTACACTGGTTATAGTATTGTAGACTGTGTACAGGAGTGTCTAAAAACAACAAGATGTAAATCAGTTAATTACCACAGGGGAGCTAACTT